ACCTATGTGGTAGGTACTCAAACTCAAAAACTCACTGTCATCCAGTCTTTCCTACTCATAGCAACCCCCTTGGGTTTCCAAGGCTGTAAATCTTTACAGAAGCAGAATGCCTCATCTTTGTTTGTGGGGCAGCTCATGAGTTCAAACTGCTGACCTTTTGGCTAGCAACCAAATGGCTTAACCACTACACTATCAGAGCTCCTTGGAGGTAGGTACTATTACCACATTTTACAATAAAAAAACTGAGACACAGAGAGTTGATGCAACTTGTTAAAGATCTTAGTAGGGAGCCAGCATCTGCTATAGGGAGAGAAGCCAGAAGAGACACAGGCTGAGGGAAAGGTCAAGGAATAGAGAAACACACAGCCAGAAACAAGAAACAGAGTCCACAGAGCACTGTGGGACTGGAAAGAGGCAGAGAAGGGGCGGGGGTGGCAGATGGGTAGAGACACAACAGGGTGCAAAGCTGCTGGAACCAGATTCAGGGAAAGGCAGAGGCAAGGGGCTGTAGGAACAGATAAGAGGCCAGGTGCAAATGCAAAGACTCCACTCTCCAGCCTGGATTCTGAGAGTGGGCAAACCAGGACATTTCCAGCCATGTGGAGGGGAGATGGGGTCACCTGCCAGAGATGAAGGGTCTGCTAAACCGATCACACTCCACACTGCCCAGAGGGCCACCAATGAGAACTCTCTGAGCCACCCCAGGCTGCTCAGGCCACTGACTCTGCCTATAAGAAGGGGTTGCTCTGTGTCTGCTGTGATGACCCAGGACATGCTTGAAGTCAGCACAGAGTCAACATGGTGGCCTGCCACACTCATAATGCAGGAGCAGCAAGTGATGCTCTGCCTTGGGGACCAGATGCCTGAAAAATTCTGCTCCCTCTTCCAGCCAAAGGCTGTCTGCTAAAAGCACAACTCCCAGAGGCCCCTCTTGTGCATCCAGGGACGGGGAGAAGGCCAGAGAGCAAGGGAGGAGAAATGGAGGGTATCTAGCAGGAACCCCAAAAAATCATGGGATGCAAAAATTAACGAGGCTGTGTATGTGATCTGGGATTCCGAGAGATTATTGTGCTATTTTTATTCAGCCCCTCAACCATGGTATGCTTCCTCCAGGCTTTTTCCTTCATCATTTTACCTACTTAACCACATCCTCATCCTTTAGGTCTTATCAACTCAGAGACGGCTCACCTGAATCTCCCTGACCAGGTGAGACACATACTACCCCCATTGTGAGCTCCCAAAGGCCCCATATACTCTCTTTCATAGTCTTTGTTGTTGTTGTTATGTGCCATCAAATTGGACCCAATTCATAGCGACCCCTCCTTAAGTTTCTGAGGCAGTATCACTACGGAAGTAGATTGCCCAACCTTCCTTCTGAGGAGTGGCTGGTGGGTTTGAACCTCCAGCCTTCTGGTTAGCAGTCAAATGCCTTAGGCCCTATACCACCAGAGCTCCTACTGGATGACTAGCTGATTAATATCTGTGTCTCCCACAGGACCCTAAGCTCCATGAGGGCAGGGACACTGCATTTTTTTCCTTTACTACTATTGTCAGCATCTAGCATCTGTGTCTATAGAATTTTCTTGAATGGATTAATTTTTTTCATTCCTTCATACAGAGCCAACACCCCCACTCCTCCCCCTTTGTTCTCCAAGGGTTTCGAGTCCAAAAGGCTCAGATAGCACACATTCTCCCATTTAATCCTCACCACCACTTTGGTTCCAATTCAGAGTGACCCTGTGAACGACAGAACAAAACACTGCCTGGTCCTTGCCAGCCTCAAAATTTTTGACTTAATGGCACCTAACAACAACAATTAACACCTTGGCTGCATTATTATTATTCCCACTTTACAGATGAAGAAAAGAGATTCAGAGAGGTGAAGTCAACTAGTGCAACAACACAGCAAGGAAGTAGCTTTGAACTCAGGATTTGAACTCTGAATCTGTCTGGCTCCAGAGCTCCAGCTCTGTCTACCTGGTTTCCTGCTCCAAGAGTCCTCTGGATCTTCTCTTACAAACCTTCTGTGCCCAAAACTGCCTAAGCTCTGAACTGATAGGCAGCATTCATTCATTCATTCAACCAATCAACCTATTCACCTGCTGGGTGTGCCAGGCCCCATGCTGGGAGCCAGGGAACCACAGATAGATCAGCATTCGAGGAGCCCTCCAGGGGCTTTTTCTCCATCCTGGGCTGCCCTCTCCTCATTGCTTTTGGGTCCTTGCCAGCAGAACCCAAAACCTACGGAGCTACCCTGTCCTCAGCTTCCGTCTCCATGGGGAAGGACTAAGTGCCAGCCCCATCAATTGCCCTCCCTCAGGATAGCAGCCTGAAATTCAGATAGGTTCATGGTCCTATGTCTCTATCTTCTCTGAGGATTCTAGGACAAGAGAAGGTGCTCTTGGGATTCTGCCATCCTTCTTCCAAGCTATGCTTTGACCACCCTCTATACCAAGCAACTCTGGAAAAAATCCCAGACTTGGACTCACAGGACCAGAGTTCTAGCTCCAGGACTAGTGCAAGCTATGAGACCTTTGGAGAGTAAGTCACTGTGCCTCTCTCTGACTGCAGATTGATTCCTCAGCTGCTAAATGGGGGTGATGATGACGATGATCCTAATGCCCACCCCACAGGGCTGTAAAACAAAAACACCAAACTCATTGTCTTAGAGTTGGATCAGACTCATAGCGACCCCTCCTTGGGTTCCTAAGGCAGTATTACTACAGAAATAGATTGCCCAACCTTCCTTCCGAGGAGTGGCTGGTAGGTTTGAACCGCCAGTCTTCTGGTAATCATTCAAAGCCAGAGATGCAATTATCTCATAGACGGTTGGCCAGGGAAATGTCTTAGCAATGGAGGGACCTATGGGACTAGTAAGACTGCTCACAAGATGCATTTGAAAATGCAGTTTGGGGAAGGTTGATTGGGAGTACACCCAGCAGGCTGAGCCCAGAGCCTCCCCAGAGTGGACTCTCAGAAGTGGGAGGCCCTCTCCTTGCTCATTGGCAGTGGAAGGAGCTGTGCTCATCAGCTCACCGGCTGGAGGGCCCAGGGGCAGGGGCTGGAAGTGGGAGTGAACAAATCGATATTCAGCTGTCTCCAGACCTGAGCACCTGGTCTAGAGACAGTGTGTGCCAGGGACCCGGACCTCTCCAGCTACTCTCAGGCCCACCTTGGGATAAGCACCTCCCTCACTTCTCCTTCTGTGGAATCTGGAAAATTCCTCCTCACTATCATACAGACAGCTTCCATTTATTGAGCCAGGCACTAGGCCAGCTGCATTGCAAATGCTCTCTTGTTGACACCTCACAACAACCCTGTTGAAGAAGGTTCTATCATTACTGTAGGTTCTACAGATGAGGAAACCGAGACCTGGAGAAGCTGTGATTCACCCAAGTCACAGAACCAGCTTGTGGCAGATCTGGGATTAACACTCAGGCTGGCTCCACTCTCCAAAAACAAAGTGGCGAGACTTACTGACAAAAACGCCAAGTAAAGATCAATGCTGCCTATGCTTGGGGGAATTTTCCCACTATGGCTGGTGATGAGTCACTGAAGCACAGGAAGTTCTTGCGTCCTCCCCTCTTCCCGAGGAAGCAAAGATGCTGCCGTCAATGCCAAAGCCCCCTCGACACCCACACACCCCACCTGATGCTCCAGCACACTACACTCTGCCCTGCAGAGGCCTCTACTCCGGAATTCATACTTCCCAACAGAGGAGATCAGACAGGGAAACTGAGGCAGATGGGAGGTGGGGCAGGGGGAATGGTGCCTCCCCTCCATGATGAGCTTCCATGAGTGACTAACACTCAGACCACAGTTCACATCTTCAGCCTCTGAATCCCCAAATTGTCCTCTGCCTTGCCGGGTGACACTGTAGCTCAGAGAGGTTTAGTGCTATGCCCTTGATCAACCAGCACAAATGACACATTTCCAACCAACAGCACATACCAAGGCACCTTTGTTATTTTAAGAATATGAGTTTACTCTCAACCCTTTTTGCCTGTGTTTGAGCTAGCAGGGCTGGGGCAAGCTGATGATGTTTTAGACATTCTGAGAAGGTCCCAGCACTGCACATAGATATCAAGACAATTTGCTTTCCAAGTGAAAGCAAACTCCATTCCAGCCCAAAGAAACCACTGCTGCCTTGGGAGAAGAAAGGATTCTCTAAGGAGAGAAGAAAAAGGGAGGAGGCATATGTGAAGAGGAATCGGAGGCCTCTCAGAATCACGACTAGACTCCCTGACTAGATGGCCACTGGGGAAAGCAGCAGAGATCCAACTGAAAACTCCACAGCTGTAGCTCCTAGATCCAGGATAGATGGGCTCTCCACGGACAGACACACAATTGCACAAACATAGGTGCCAAGCCATTCTGGATGTCCTCCTCCTCTCTGGGTCTTCAGGGGTTTGACAAAAGAACAACACAGTCACATTGTCACATTTTCATACACAGAGAATCACAAATTGACAGTTTGTGACAAACACATCAACACCGGGACCCCAACAGATGACTGCCAAATGTGACTCTGTAAGTGCCCCCACAAACACTTTCCTGCCCCTCTAACTGCATAGTGCTTACACACACGTGTGTCTCCCCAGAATCTCACAGCACCTCACAGCATCTCCACCCACCTCTGGGAGGTTTCAGAGGTTTAGACACATAATACATCGTTGCTGTCACAAACACAGAATCACCCACTCAAAACTGTGACAGACACCAACTGCTGCCAAACTGTCCTACATACCTTGATGCAGAAACAAGAGGATGCCAAACAGATAATTAAATGTTATTTAGTTATAAACACACACACACACACATGCACACTACAGCATTCCCCTCTCAGGAACAGTGGCTCCCCGCTGGGCCCCGGGCGCCCCCTACAGGAAGTGCAGAGCGTCCCCCTCCCCGTATGGGATTCAGTGACAGGGTCCCAAATCAGCGTTCCCTACCCTCACCCAGGTGCCCAGTCCCACGTCGCCAGCCCGCAGCGGACTCACCGGACAATGCCGAACATGACGAGCACGTTGCCCAACAGTCCAACGGCGCACACTGCCGAGTAGAGAGCGGTGATGGCGATGGCCAGGGCGAGAGAGGAGGCGCTCCGTGCGCCCGGCGGCCCCGACGCATTGGCGCTCGCACGGGGGAAGGCGCTGGGGAAGGCGTCCGACGCGTTGGCGAGGAGAGGGGGCTGCAGCTCGGTGTCGGCAGTGGAGAATGGCTCCATTGCAGCGGGGCGCTGGGCGCCGCGTCCCTCCCCACCGTGCGCCCTGGGCGCAGGGACTCGGCGCAAGGGGAGCGCCAAAGGTCGAGGCTGCGGCCCCGACGCCGCCGGCTGCGGCACCCCGGCCGCCCCGCTTCCTCTGCTCCTTTCCGGGCTGCCTCGCCACCTGCACTGGCCCTGTCCCCGGCGCCCGCCAGCTCTGCTCGCCTCGAGCGCTCTGAGCCAGGAGCCGCTGCGGGCTCCTCGGACGCGCCCGCCGCGCGCACCACGTGGCCAGGAGGCGGGCTCCACTCTGCACCCGCGACCGGGGGTGGGCGCTGCACCACCGGCGCGGAGCTGGACCCAAGAGGCCTCCGACCGTCTCCCTAGGACTATTCAGCTAGCCTGATTGCGCCCCCTACACCCCACCTCTGGCCAGGATTCACCTCCCCACCCCCTTGTGGCTTAGAGTCAGAGGATCTAGATGTCAATCCCGCCTCTTGCCCCTCCACTAATGAGCAGAGTGACCTTGAGCAAGTCTCTCAACTTCGTTTTCCTCACCTGTAAAATGAAGACTCTCGCACCACCTCCCTCAGAGGGTTGTTGGAGAGATGATATAAAATGATGGGCATAAAGAATTTAGCTCAATGCCAGCACACAATTGTGAGTGGTTAAGTAGATTCCAACTCATAGCGACCCTATAGGCCAGGTAGGACTGCCCCATAGGGTTTCCAAAGCTGTAATCCTTGTGGAAGCAGACTGCCACATCTTTCTCCCGGGTTCAGAACGGCCTAGCAGCCAAGCTGCTTAACCACTACATCACCAGTGCTCCTTGTAAATAACCTTTATTGTTTATGCTTTTCTTGTACTCACCCCATTAGTTTGCACAACAAATATTTTCTGTATCTGATATAATAGCCAGGTACAATTAGGGTGCACAAAACCAGGGGAGATGGGGGAATCTCCTGGGGTTTACAACCCAGCGGAGGAAACAGACATCAATCCCCAAATCACACAAATGAAGATATAACTACAAATTGAGAGAGTGAGGGAAAGAAATTCATCCTGTGTCCTGTGGCAGGATCTACAAAAGCCAGAGGTCAGGACAGCTTTCCTGAGGAAATGACACTTAAGGTGAGATACTAGGTTTGAGGGGTAACTGACTTAGAGAAGAAACAAGGGCAGAGCAGTCCAGACAAAGGGACCACACAGTGCAAAGGTACTGTGGCCCAAAGGAGTATGTATGGAGATTCCGTGGAACTGAAAGGAGGCAAAAGAGAGAAGGCAGAAAGTGAGTAGGGTGAGGTGGTGCCTGGGGCCTTGCGCATGCTGGCTGCTGTAGGAGCAAATGTGAGGGGGAGACTTGGCTAACTCAACCTTCCTACATTCCCTTCCTGACCTGAATAGTTCAGAGCCAGAGTTATCCTCCTCCTTGGGACTCCTATCCTTCCCAGAACATTCTATCAAACATTACTCTGTTCCACACACTCTGTGTTAAGTGCTTTAGCTCTGTATAAACACTTTGGAGCAGATTCTGTTATTATCCCCAACACATGAGAAGACTGAGACTAAGCACTAAATTAACTCATATGGTGATTATTACTATTAGAGCTTGTCTCCTTGGAGGGACCAAACCTGATTGATCCCTGCATCCAGGAGAGGGTGAGAGTCCCAGTGGAGGCTCAGGAAATGCTGGTTGGATGAATAAAGGTCTCAAGGGGAAGAGGGTGGGGACAGTATTGGGGCCCACAAGCTTCAGGCTCTAGGACAATGCTCTTGGCTTTGTGAATAGCTGGGCAAAGACCTCTCCCTCATACCATCTTCTGTTTTGAGTCATCCCTCTATGTGTAAGGCTCTTCCTTTTTCCCAAAAAGAACAAAGTCAGACTACTGCCAAGCTCCTCTCCATTTTTCTGTGCCCCACCGAGCTGCTGTCCAAGCCCTTCTACCAGCTATAGTGGGCTCCTATCCCAAGGCCTTCACATCTAACCATGGAAGAACTCACCCAAAGCCAAACCAGACTAAACTCACCGCCATCGAGTTGATTGCAACTCATAGTGACCCCCACTGGGTTTCCAAGGCTACATACCTTTTACAAAAGCAGACTGTCTTCTCTTTCTTCCCCAGAGCTGCTGGTGGGTTTGAACTGCTGGCTTTCTGGTTAGCAGCCAAATGCCTTAACTGCTACACCACCAGCGCTCCTTAAGTACTCATCAGACAGGAGATCTTTGTTCTGTAGCCACAGGTGCTACCAAAACTCTCCCCTCTACTTCAAAGAGGCTGGTATTCAGAGGCCTTTCTGGCGCCAGGGGAGAGAAACTGGGACAGGAAGGAGGAAGGCTACTTGATTGAGTTCTGGCGTCTTCCCTGCCCTTCCAACAATCCAAGATTTTCTGCCTCAGGACAGTTGCACATTCTATTTCTTCCAACTAAATGGTTCGACCACTCCCCCAGGCTAAATGCTATTCATCTTCCAAGTTTCAGCTCAAATATCACTTCCTCCATGAAACTTCAGTGACACCACCACCCTTTGCCCAGGGCTTCTTGTTACTTGTATTCATAGCACCGTGTACCTCTTCTTTACAGCATGTTTCACATATTTATTTGTAAAATCATTGGATTTTTGTGTGTTACCCTCACAATAGGACTTGTGCACTTCTATTCCCACACCTTAGCGCAGTCCTGGCACATAGTTCCTTACTGGATAAGTGACTGAATTGTTGTTGTTATTTGCCGTCGAGTCGGACCCGACTCATAGCGACCCCTCCTTGGGTTTCTAAGGCAGTATCACTACAGAAGTAGATTGCCCAACCTTCCTTCCGAGGAGTGGCTGGTGGGTTTGAACTGCCAGCCTTCTGGTTAGCCTTAGGCACTATGCTACCAGAGCTCCCAAGTGACTAAATAAGAAAGATCAATTCCAACTTTGGTGATCTCCTATTTTGATGGGGAAGACTGATCAGATTAATACAGTTAAACACAGATCTAAGAAATTCTTCCAAGCAATTGTATTGACTCTCAAGTCCGGTCACAAGCCCCATGAAATCTTTTCCATAATCAACTTTGTAATTATTTCTTATTTGAACTGAAATGTTAGTTCATAGCTCCAATGTTCCCTTGGCTGTCACCAAGCAAGTCTACCCTCATTCCTTGGTGTTGTGTTTGGGGGTTCCTCCCAGTCTGGTCCCAACCTACCATCCAGGGTTCACTGCTGCCCCTCACCTTCTCTGCCTTTATCCCCCATCCTCACCCCACACCCATGCTCCAGCCCCACTGGGCTCAAGGGGATTTTTAAAAACTGCATTCTGTGATGTTTTTTTGAGTTCCCGCTATGTACAGAGGTGCTATGGTGGAAAGTGATAGCTAAGAATCGTTTCCTTAATCCTTCCGAGCGTCAGTTATTTCATCTGTGGAGAGGTGCAGGATTGGGGTGAGGAAACAAAACAGCAGATGCTTTGCCAAAGCAAACTGCAAATTGAGAAGGGCTGTGTGAACATGGTTATTAATTAAGCCATGAGGGAGAGTAAGACCATTGCTCTCTTAAAGGAGCTCACAGTCCAGATGTAAATAACCAAGTGAATGAGGCATTGAGAATTCAGTGGTGGAATTCTCACCTCCCATGTGGAGACCTGGTGCTTCCATAAAGATTCCAAACCAAAAATCAAACTCACACTCGTTCAGTCGGATCTGACTCATAGCGACCCCTCCCTGGGTTTCCCAGGCAGTATCACTATGGAAGCAGATTGCCCAGTCTTCCTTCCAGGGAGTGGCTGGTGGGTTTGAACCACCAGCCTTCTGGTTAGCAGTCAAATGCCTTAAGCACTATGCCATCAGGCCAAGAAAATCCTGTGGGGCAGTTCTACACTGTCACACAGGACAGATATGAGTGGAAAATCAACTTGACAGCATCTAACAACAACAACCAAAAAAAAAAAAAAAAACCACTTTGCAATTTCCCAATCAACTGATGTGTCTTTGATGAGGCTTCCAGACCACATCTGAGGGTTATGCTAATGTAGTAACTCAAGTACAGGGGCTGGGCAGGCCTGAAAGCCCACCTGATTCTATCAGCCCAATCTCAAGGGAGGTAGGCTGGTTCAGTTAAAATCATGCCCGTGTACTGAGGCCTCAGTCAAGGGTCTGGACACAGGAGCTCCATGGGCTTCCTGGTTGGTGGCAGACAGATGTACATGGGAGAGTAGCACATTCTTTTTCGAGACATGGAAGCTTCATTGTTGGGAACTCTCCCAGACCTCAATCTATAACTAAACTATAATCACAAATACAGCACTTTCCATGAATTCTGTGTCATTCCAGTGAATCTACCCAAGAGAGTAGTGGGAGCTAGCAGGTCAGAAATGAGGGGCCTGGGGACCCCCGAGCTTGCAACTGGTATCCTGAGGGGATAGAGGGAATCCTCAAATATGTGGCCAGCAGGTCACACATGAGTGTGTCATAGGGATTCCCAAGCTTGTGGCTGGTGTCTGAGGTCTTGAAGTTTCAACAATCTGGAGGACTTTGTCCTTTAACTTGTGACATCTGACCTGGCTCTGGGTAGTTAAGGTCAGAGGAAGAACTGTTTCATGTGAAGCTAGTGTCAGAACAGAAGTGGGACAGAGGGGAACAGAATTGATCATTTATTGGATTGAATTGTTCCTTACAGTTTGGGGTCAGAAAAGAGAAAACTGAATCGATTTGATTTTTCAGTCATAGGTTATGGGTCTCTTGGAGCAAAGGAAATTCTTGAGTCCTCTGTTCTTGGTGGAGCACAGAGTTGATGCAGTCCTCCACAATAGGGTGAACAAAGGGTTTGGGCTCTACTTGGGGCTTATCCTTACCCTTGACTTCAGGGGAAAAAAAAAAGAAAAACCAGATAGGAAATCCTGGGCTCAACCCAGACGGCGTCAGCAGGAGAGAAACAGAAATTACTAACGGTGTCAGAACAGAAAGAAAATCCCTGGGGAAGTTATTAACAATTTAGTACGTGGGAATGCAGTTCCCACCTGACAAAGAGACAGATCTGCCTGATGGAAAATACAGAGACGGCCTCTGAGTGAGTGGGCAGCTCCCCTGGGCTGCCTATCAGTCTGGCTCTATCTGGAGTGGAGAGTATGGTGACCATAACCGTAAAATAATAACCACTTGCATCTGCAAAGCACTTTTGACTTTCCGAAGCACTTCCAGATTGATGACTTCATCTTATCTTCACACCATTCTGATACATGGGAGGTCAGGTTTCATTATCTTCATTTAATAGCTAGGAAGA